ATAATATAAGCTGTGAGACTCGGTCCTCTTCTTCTCTACCTTTGTCTATGGTTGAGACTATTGATCACTGCGTGTGAAGATGATGCATGACATGTGCACATCTGCGTGAGATGGTCCCCAGGACCCATGCAATTTTGGTATCGGAGCAGATGCTCGCTACTCTCATAGCGCTGGTCTGATCAAGGCCGGCGAGAAGAAGTGGTGATGGAAGGATAGCGAAGGAGGGAGTGGGGGAAGCAGGCCGAAGAAGAAGTGGCAAAGTCTACTTACCTGGAGCGTGCGGAGCGTCATGGAGCATCATCGGCGGCATCTTCAAGAAGAGAGAAGCACCTCCTTTCCTTGAACCTGCATGCATGTGTGTGTCCCCTGCCTTCTCTCTCTCTGACCCTGTGAAGGCGACTGCTGCTGATCTGGTCAGGAGTTGAAGTCTGGATCTGAGTTGTCATAGATGTCAGGTCTGAGCTGTCAGAGTCTGATGACCCAAGTGTGATGTGTCAGGAACTGGTCACACTAGAGTAGGTGGTCAAGTGTTCTGCGAATAGGAGTAGGTCTCTCTCCTATCTCTCTTGATAGGCAGGCTGGGTAGCGTCATCAAGAACCAAGAGTCGATGTGGGAAGTGGCTATGTGCCACGTCATATAGCAGGTACTAGGCAGTATAAGGATGATATTGAGCATCTACAGGGCCTGTTAAGCCCGAAAGAAAGAAACATTGGAACGAAGTATTCCTGCCTGGTTGGATAAGTGAACCATCTGAATCTGCGCTGTACTCCATACCTGCATCAGACACCCAGCAAGTTAGTAAAAGAAAGAAAAAAAAGAAGTATATATCAAGAGAGGCAAACACATTGCCAAAAGTTGATCCAGGGAGCCAGACAGCATAGCACAGGAAAAAAAAGAGAGTATATATACTTGTTTGATCTACGCAGCACCTTCTACAGTCCACCGAGGCAGAACTCCATTGCCACAGGTACTAAGTAAGTAAGTTGAGTGGGATAGTACCTTGGTGACCCGGCGGAGGGTTTCCTGTGCTGGTAGTCATCATGGATGACTATCCCATCCAGGGTCGGCCCTTTCTGTCTTGTTGGGGCCGCTGTTCCGGCTTATGTTCCCACTGGGGTTCGGGCTTGTGTGCACGTCCCGCATGCTGATGCGGTCTGGAACAGTGAAGCCTGGCCCTACTCCTGCAGAGCAGGCAGAGATAGATCGTAAGTTGGCAGAGAAGAAAAAGAAGAGAGAAGCCAAGAAAAAACAGAAAGAAGAAGAAGTCAAGAGGAAGATGAAAGAGAAGATGGAAAGAGAGTTGGAAGAAGAGTTGAAGAGTATAGAAGAAGAAGAAGAAGAAGAAGAAGAAGAAGAAGAACAGGAAGAAGGAGAAGTTTTGGAAAGACGTCGTCGCCAAGACATTCCGGAAAGCAGCACAACGACCCGCCTTCCCGTTGAACAGCTGGACTGGGGCAGCCGGTACTACTACTCCAGCGAACCATTAAAGGAAACTGATGAAGAACGAGATACGTTCATCGCCAAGTTGGCCACTGTTATAGATGCTGTTGAACGAAATCTGATGCTGGAAGAGAAAAGGTCTGAACTAAATCGCAGGCTGTTGGCCGCTAGGCGGCAAGAAGTAGAAGAGAAAAAGAAGTTGCATGCGGAGGGGGAGAAATTGCAGAAAGCTTTAGAAGCGCAAAAGGAAAGTCCCTCTGAAACCGAAGCCCAGCTTGCTCTCCTCAGGGAGATAGTCCTCAACACAAGGCAAGATATGAAGTGAATGCATCAGACGCTACAAAGGGTTGAAGCGCATCGCGTTGAATTCGAAAACGTTTGGAATAACTTTGTGGAAAAGTCAGCCAAGGATGTTGACCAACATGTGCAAACTTACATCCAGGCTTTGGACGAACATATTAATAAAGTCTTCACCCCGGAAGTCGTAGAGAAGATTGTAAAGGGAGCTGGAGGCGACGGCGGAGATGGGGATGGCGACAACGATGATGATAAGAAAGGAAAGAGGAAGATTGGGGATCCGAAAGAAAAACTTCCTCAGGAAACCGGGCAAGTTAACAAGATAAAACTTAAACTGCCCTGGACCTACAATCGAAAGAAAGAAAAGACTGTGTTGCACTAGGCGGCGACAATTGAAACCTATGTGTACGGACAGCGTATCCCATACTGGGACAGGGTGTTGATGGCCACTTCGTGCATGGGAGACGACGCCATGAACTTTGCCATCTCATTGCAAAAGGAGGCGGGATGCAGCTCTATGGTAGAGTATTCGCAGCAAACGCGAATTGAAGATTTCCTTAAATTAATAAGAGAAAGATTTGAGGACAAAAACTTGGCAAGACGTACGGAAATGTTGATCCTCAGCCTTCCTGACAGGAAATGGAAGAGTACCTCTGCACTAAAGGCAACTATGGATGAACTATTGCAATGCCCTGATCACGGCTTGACGCCAGCCCAAATTCTGAACAGTTTTGCACGAGCACTCCCGGATCCCCTAAGAACACAACTCTATCCCCGTACCAAGGAAGAGGGGATGACATATGAGAAGTTCGGCAAGATCGCCATAGATCATGCCGGCTTCCTCATGGAAGCAAACTATTGCCATTATTGGAAGGATCTGCAAGCGAAAAAAAAAATGGCAAAACCGCACTATCTCAGGGTCTATACATGGGAAAGACAGTCTCCTTCTAACCTTTGAAGAAGGAGGCGCCGAGACCATCTCCTGGGATCAGGTTGACTATGGTCTCGATGAACCCAACAGACCGGTAGCTCAGGAGGGGAGTTACGCGGCTGTTGCAGCCCGCGGGGGAGGGCGTCAAGGAAGAGGGCGTGRCCGAGGAAGAGGTCGCGGTCGTGGTGGACAAGGATTCGGCACCCAGAGGGGTGGTGGTGAAGGAAGCCACTACGTGGGAGGAAGG